TGACACAAATCTCACGGATGGAGATGACATAGTCCTCTGTAAAAAACTCGACGACTTAAGATATGATGGACTAGAAAATTTAGGAGGATTTATTTGTAGCAAGCTTAAATGCAAGTTACCAAATTTAACTAATAAAAGTTCGACGTCTTACAACTGGACCAATCATTTGACGGAAGGTGGGTTATGTAAACCTTCTAACGAATTTATGGCTCATTTAAAAAAACTAAAATTCAAAATAATAAAGATATATTTACGGGCAAACAATATATTTCGTCTGTTGTCCGCAAGTGTTAATATTGATTATCCTCAAGATGACTAAAAGATTTTAATAAAAAAAATATTTTAGTACCTACTAATAAAAAAAAATACAAATATTATCGCATAATGTAAATTATTTTTATATTTTTAAACGTAAATTGTTTAAAAACTGTTTTATATATAGTTATTTAGCAAGAATATTAACGTAATAATATCGTAATATAATAATAATCGTAATATTTATTTTGGTACTATTTTTTGTACTAATACCTTATTCGTTCTAATTCGCTTAAACATTAAACATATGTGACTAAGAAAATAGGACAAACATTTGTTTTTATTTAAAATGTATGAAGAAAGTAAAATAATTTGCAAAATATCCATATTTAGGGTGACGGGATAAGTTACGAGTGCTTATGTATAAAATTAAGAGCAATGTGAATACTATGCTTCAAGTGTCGTAGCTGCGCCAGGTTAACGCGAATTTGCACTTCGGAATAGATGGCCCTGCCGCCAACCTATCGTTTTTACAGCTACAAGGTAGCAATCAGTAACGCGTCCATAGTTACAGAATACACCAACAACCAGAAGCGACAACTTTGTCGATTCTTTTGTTGTTAGCTTGTACGTGCTTATACTTAATGTTAGTGTGGATCTGACATTTATACATGTTAGTACACTGAGAAAAGTCACACACATTTCTGGCGTACATCACCAAAATTGTAGTTGCACTGAGAAAAAGGTTGCATGCAGGGTCGGCTTTTGTTGACATTCTTAATAATGCTGGAATAATTTTTTTTATGTATTTGCAAAAGGTTGTAAATACATCGCACAACGCAAAGTAATGGTGAAAATCATATTGAACACAGTATTTAATTAAATCTTGCCCAAGTACTTTCGATCACAAGATCATCCTCAGGGGCATTTCGTCAATTGTGGCCTATCCAGCAATAACCGAATGTCATACATGTAAACTGGGACATAACAAATACACTAAAGACAAACAAACACTTTAAAATTTAAATTGGAGAAGCTACATTTTTATATTATAGAAGATAGCAGAATTTTTGAATATAGAGAAGATATTTTTGTTTGTCTTTAGTATATTTGTTATGTCCCAGTTTACATGTATGACATTCGGTTATTGCTGGATAGGCCACAATTGACGAAATGCCCCTGAGGATGATCTTGTGATCGAAAGTACTTGGGCAAGATTTAATTAAATACTGTGTTCGATATTTGCCTTGTGTACCATCAAAGTTCATTTAAAATCATATTGATTGGAACCATAGATGAAAATACTTTTTTGTTTATCCTGATTTCAGCATTACAGGACCAATAATAAAATATATAGTAAAACGTAAAAAATATCGGGGTAACCAAATAAAAAATCAAGAAATATTGTAGGAGTATATTTCTATAAATATAAAGATGTAATAACCTAAAAAATAATCAAAAAAGTGTTAAGAATCATTAGAATTATACATATCCCTATCCCTATGTTTGTGGATATCTTGAAAAAAAACACCAATTAATAGGCATAGTAACTGTAACAATTGTGAAAATTATCGGACACAGTGTTAATCTTTAGATGTGAATTCTTTATTAAATATTATAAAGCATACAACCCTACAAAAATGATCCATGGAGCATTGCAGCATCCTCCTGATTTTTTTATTAAATATATCTATAACTTAGAACACATTTTTAAAACTAAGTTTGTAGAGATTTGTATACAACAGGGAGTCTCACATAAACTTTTTAATATAATGAAAAAAAGTAGAATTTACCCATCCATGCCCTGATTTTACTAAAACATATGTTGTAAAATTACTTATTTGGCTTAAAATATTTTGTAGTATGAAATATACTAATCGAGATCTTCGAAGTACAATTCAAAAGACAAAATGTAAAGAAAATTGAATATTTTGTGCTAAAAACTATAAATGTGTTAGGATGCTCAATTTTCTATTTCCCCTCTTAACATTCTTCTTACTTTTTAGATCCCTATTAAAATATTTTAGAGAATAATAAGGCCTTAATCTAATAAATAACTTTACAAGATAGGTTATCGGAAATAATTTACAAGGATAAATAAAAGTTACTTCTTTTATGACATTAAAATACGAATATGACACTTGTTTTTCGGTCAAAATAGTTTCGTATGATGTGGAAAATATTTGTTCTAATTTATATATATATATATATATATATATATATATATATATATATATATATATATATATATATATATATATATATATATATATACTGAACAAAATTTTCACTTGGTGTACTTAATACTCCATATACATATTGATCAGTGTTGAATGCTTTAAAATGAGTGAGTAGGTGAGTAAGATCTAATTCCACCACTTTTCTACAGTATTCTATACAAACTTCACAATTATGTACATTGATACATTTTTTAAGTAAATATCCACAGACATTTTTAATTTTTAAATATTTGAAGTCAAAATGAAGTAGCCTGTCCCACAACTTTTTGACCCCATCTATGGTAATAACCCAACATTTCAATGATCTCGATCTAGAAGTAACATTTTTCCCACTCTTGTCAAATATTTTCAATTCTTGAATGAACTTCGACATTGAATTTAAATAATTTAATTGAATTGCTGAACATTCATAACAATTTTTATATTTATTGGAATTACCAGTGTCGAATGAGTTTAATATATCAAAAAGAATGTCAAATTTTTGAATGAATTCTATTGTTCCAAGAGCATCTGCAGGTAAATGTCCTAGTGCCATAAATGTGCTCATAGAACTCGCAACTGTGTGGCTTAAAACTTGAGTTGCAAGTTTTACTCGCATCTTCTCAAAATTTGTGGGATATGTGTGAGCTGGTAAGCTTTGGGGCACACCTATACTGATTTCCCTTATCCTCACGATAGAATGCTTCCACATATGTCCAGGATGTTTTCTTATAACCATCAAAACACAAAATGTTATTTATTAAACTGTTCCTGGTAGCCTTAATTAAATGACATGGGTCATAAATATAAAATAATAATTTATCATCTACAGTAAATTCAGCATTACCAGGTCTGACCCCCAATAATTTACCTAGTTTCATAAAATTTGATCCCATATCTGTGACTAGACAATCAACATACAAACCACATTAAAATAATTTTAAGATGCATTTCTTGATAACAGGACACAACTTTTCTAGCTCAAAGAAAACAAAGAAATAGGCTAATGGTTGTTTCCAATTGGAATACAAGCCTCAAGCCATAATAACCAGAACATTTTCTGCAACAAGACCACTCTTCTTTTCACTGCCAATATCACAAAATCCAACAACTTCGTCCCGTCCTAAATCAAAATATAAATTACTTTTTAGTGACATTTCGTAAATACATATAGTACAATGTTTATCCTGTTCAATCATAGTTTGATTTTTTGATTTTTAATCATCCAAAATTTGTTCGTTATTTAAACCTGGTTTGCATGCTAAATTCTCTGTGATTCTTTGTAAACTTCTTTTTGATGGTAAATATAAAAGTTTAACCATAAATGAATATGCCCTAAGACCTAAAAAGTATAAAGTTAGAGCAAATTGCTTATATCCCTTGGTTTCGTATACCGTCTTGTTTTCGGTGTTTTACTTCCTAATATTACTTGGGCCTTCACTACCTGGGATAAGGGCTTATTTAAAAATTTATCGCACATTTTATTAAATTCGCTAACTAAATATTTTTCTTTTCGTGATTGTGTTGTAGTGCCCTTATTTAGCTTTAAACGTAAAGACCTGATCTTCTTATAAAGCTTTATTTTTCTTGGAGTATGAGAACTCAATATACTGGATGTCTTTGTTGATGCCGAGGATGGTAACAGGACACAAGGTTGTTGAATGTACGTTGTAGAAATATCATTTGGGAGTGGCTTATCTCCTAAAAAAAAATATTGAAGTATTTTCAAAGTTGCAAAGTCATATGTCTGTCTTCATATAAAATGTAAAATTTTTGACAATTTTTTTTTCTTTCTACCAATTTGGACAAGGCATTTGTTTGATTATTTATGCCAATGATTAACTTAGATGTGTAGTACAACAACAATCTTAGTCGATGTTTTAATTTACTACGGCTGTTATTGCCAGTTATGTGACAGCCCGTGATTGTTTCGGTAGAACAATCCAATCTATTAAAAGGTGTAATATTGTTCTAAGACTTTGTTTGAACAAATGATATTTCACAAAATAACAAGTAACCCTTCTAACCTTTAAGTCATAATGGCAAAATTTTAAATTTCAGATAACGGTTTTTATAGAGAGTTATGTCTGAATAGAAAATAAATTTAATTATATATTTACAATGTTTAAATTTTTTACCTGATATGCTTTGTAGCTGCATTTGAACATGTTGGCTTGAACTTTCCATCTCATGTTCAACATTCATTGCTGGCTCAGCATCTTTTATTCCAAACTTTTGTATAACTTCTAAAGATGAAGCTAAAATTTAGAAATTTGTTATAGTGCAATCAATATTTCAATAGAAATAAAGTTTCTCAGTAAACTGTTAAATAAAAAAGTCAATCATATTAAAGCTAGGCACTAGAAAATATGTCTAGGATGACAACCAACTAATTTTTTGTCTCATTTAAATATACTCATTTTTCATTGGTCTGCATATTGCTGTATATTGCGTTTAAATGTTTAATACTTCTCTTTAGATGATGAAATATGGTAGGAACAGCATTTAAAAATAATGGTAAACAAAATGCCTAAGAATATTAAAATTGTTTCAAATACGCAAATTAAAAAGCCGAAAATAGAGAAAATAGTGTCGGAATTGGAAAAGCTTTTGACGAAACCGCCGAAAACTCATGTAAGTATTCATTATTTGTAAATTGTGTACGATTTATTGTTATTTTCTAATTTTCTGTATTATTGTTGCATTTGTGTTTCTGGATTTTTGTATATGTTGGATTTTTGTATTGAGATTACGTTTGGATATTTATACCACTACTTGTGACTCAATATTATATAAAACATAATAAATTATATATGTCACAAGAAAACATTGTCACCTATTGTAGTATTTTTGATTTTATTTTACTGTATTATTTTCTTTTGTTTTGTAGTATTTTATTTCTTTGTTTTCCATTTTATTTAACCCTGTTTAGAAGCTTCTTTAACTCTGTCTAGGAGCTTTTACATTCTCTCTTAATTTTAAATAAATTATTCTAATGTACTTTTTGTTTTAGATTGATTTGACTAACATTGATTCGCAAGATTTCCTAAAGGAATTCTTGAGGCCCTTTGAGGGCTCTGCGTCGGGACCGTCCTCTTGCTCAGAATCATCAACTTCCTCGAGACCATCAGCGTCGTCATATTCGACAACTGTCACCATGGAGCAGTTGGAAGAATACAACAGGCAGATGACTGAAAGGTACAATCAGTCGTATAATAACCAACAATCCTGGTCGTTATTATACGACAAGACATGTGCCGTAGCGGAAGAGACGAAACAGATTGGGGCAAGAGAAAAAACATTATTTGAGGAACAAAAGCAGCTTACAAAACAGAAAGAGAATTTAAATTTTCAATTTGTTTCTTATCAAACAGATATGCTGAAAATTTATAATTGTAAATAAATACATTTTATGTTTCATCTTTCTTTTTAATAATTTGACACTAATAACTATACAAATAGGTTTCAATAATTAAAATAATATTGACTGAACTAACCTTATGCGATAATTAGATTACAATGATGTAAAGAAACAACTGTTTATTAGCTTATCAGTAGCGGTGCTATCTGCCGTTATAATCATAATATTTAAAAATATAATTTGTATATTCTCAGATTATACAAAGTGAAATAGAATTTTCTTCTTCTTCTTTGCGTGTAATATCAGAATTATCCAACGTTGGCGATCACCATTGGGAAGGCTTTTCGATCTTTTACAATATGGAATAATTGTCCTGCATTTTGTATCTGAGTTAATTCACGAATGTTTTTTAATCAAGAAACTTGTTTTCTTCCTACACTTCTACGGCCCTCTATTTTACCTTTTAGGGTCAGTTGTAATATTTTATATCGACTTCCTCTTACTATATCTCCCAGATAAGATATTTTTCAATGTTTTTTCAGTCTTTAGCAGTTCTCTATCTTTGTTGACGCTCCTTGGTACTTCTCCATTAGTTTTCCTTGCTGTCCAAGGTATTTTCAGAATTCATCTATGAACCCACATTTCCAATGCTTTAATTTTGTTCATGGTCGATACTTTTAGCATCCACACTTCTGCATTATACAAAAGTACGGACCAAACGTAGCACTTAACCATTCTTTTTTTATTGTACATTTTATTTATTCCTCTATTCTACGTTTTATTTCTATGTCTGGATCTAGTTGGTCCATTATCAGTTTTGTTTTGTTTGAGTTTATTTTAATGGCCATTTCCTCTCCTACCTCGTGAATATGATCAAGCAGAATTTAAAGACCTTCAATATTATCTGATAGAATTACTGTATCGTGTGCATATCTAATCACATTAAGTAGTTCCCCATTTGATATTTATTCCATATGGTTGTTTTTCAAGTGGCTTTTTAAATAACTGGTCCGAGTAAACATTAAACAATGTTGGCAATAAAATGCAGGATAGAATTGTGACCAAACCAAATTATCTTATAATAAACTTAAAAAAGTTTACTGTAATTGCAATTTTGTAAAAAAATATATTTCGAGATAAAACAGATATAATTTACCGCAGCGGCGTTACTAAAATTTGCAGTTATATTTACGTTAAATGCAAAATTATGCAAAAGTGCAAATTATGCAAGGTTAAGCAGGATCTTCAGAAATCAGTATACCTGGTACTAAATTAACTCGTTCAGTGACTACTATGACAGTGTGGTAATAAAGGTTTCATCAAGGACGATGAAATTACACAAATGTCGTTTGTCGTACTGCAATACTAAATGAATCATTAAGTACGTAGTAACAGACAAGTGATATTTGTTTAAGATAGATACCGAACGTACCTTTGAGGTTAGCTTGAACTCAACCTTCGGGTTACTTAATTGTGACGTTTAAGTGACCTTATCGTAACCTTCTAGTAACTTTCTCATGATATTAAACTTGTACGACTTTGATTGACATTAGTCTTACTACATCTCTAAAGTATCTTTAAGGCTACCTTAATTAACCTTCAGGTGACTTTATCCTGACGTTCAAGTAAATTGTGACTTTCAGGTAACTTTTAAATGATCCTGAACTTATCCAACCTTAATTCGAATCAGTCTAACCACTTTTGATCCTATTTTGCACAACAGGCAACTTTTCTGTTGTGTTAAACTTGTCCGACCTTGAACTTTGCGTGACCTTGATATTCATATGACCTTCGCGTGACTTGAACTTTGCATGACTTTGACTTGACCTTGACTGACCTTGATTGGAACCGGTTTCTCCCACCACAAAGTGCACCAGAAATGGTATAGAGTATCTACTGATATCAACGAACTACAGGGGGCGCTTTGACAGATGATCAGCTGATCACGCACGTAGGAAAACAAAACAGAGCTTCCATAATCTTTGTAGGTGAATCATTGTTGTGTCTAAAAATTTTCCGTATTTATTATTCTCCATTTATTTTTTTAACGCAATGGCCAATAAGGAAATTGAAGTTAGTCTGCTCGATATTTTGAAATATATAGGAGACACAAAAAGACCTTTAAAAGTAAACCAGTTCTGCCATGCTGCTAAAAGGAAACGAAATATACAGCCTACCGGATCATTATATCTATCTAATTAGCCTTCTTGGGCCCATCTTTGAACATAGGCCTCCCCAATCCTTTTCCATTCTTCTCTGTCTGTCGCTATAGCCATCCATCTAGAGCCCACGTTCTTCTTGATATCATCTGCCCATTTCATTTGGGGCCTTCCTCTGCTTTACCTTAGATGGTTCAAGCGTTGTCCACAAATTTTTATACCTTTTTTTATTACAAATTTTTATACCGGATCATTAGATCAAGCATATGAAAAAATATTTAAAGTTGTACAAGGTGAGTTTTACATGAATACTTATTTTTTGTAGCCAAATGATGCTTAAAACTAGACTAGCGATAGAGATATAGAAATCTTGAAATTAAACAAGTGCTGAAGGTTTTTATTAGAAAAAAATTAGTGGCCAATTATTTGATTACTTTTGTAACATCCTGTTATGCTTCTGCAGAATCCAGAGAATTATTTTATTTTTCAAAGCTCACAAAGCAAATTTCTGCCTTCTCAAAAACATTTTTTTGAGACGAGGGGAAGATACTACAAATCCATTTATTAAAGGTCATAATGATTTGAGAAACATTGCTGTTTTGTATGTGCACATTAAAGGTCACTTAATATTATCATGCACTTAGTGTTTCCAGCATGAAGCATTTATTTTTCGTGAAATATTATTAAATGGCTTTAAATATGACCAATTCACACTGTCTGGAATTTATCGTATCAGACACCTTTTAGTACAATCAGGTTTTTCAGAGACTATTCTATGTGCATGATATACGCAGCGACTTTAAGAACAAATATTTGATAGGCATATTCAAGAATTTCGGCTAAACTAGCTTTGATTGGGTTTTCAGTGTCAAACTCTGAGCTCACATGCATTTGAATCAAGTAGGTAATATTCATTATTTATTTTTACATGTTTTTTTCTAAAAATTTTATATCCCATATCTACACCAACTTTTATTAAAACATGAAGATTCCATGTTAATCATTTTATATTACCCAACGATTAATTTAAAAAATGTAAAAATAAATAATGCATATTACCTATTTGACTTAACATCATGAATAGTAGTAAGATATTTTTAACATTTTTTTTTGTGATCAGCATTTTATATTGTCACTTGTAGTTCTAGGTTCTGCCCTCAAGTTATTTGTTGAAGGTCGAAGTTCTGGGATAGCAACACCTGATAATATAACAAGGATAACTGATTTTGAAGCCGCCTTGTTTAATCAGTTTATATCAGTATCCAATGGTATAAAACAATTAATGCTATTAAGTGCTTGTGAACAATCAGCTATAAATGTTTATAATAAATTTGTAAGTATTAAACAGTGTGAAGCTGCTGGTATTTGCAAAAATACAGGGCAACAGAATAGTGAAAATAAAATGTGGATGCAACATCGTCAGATAAGAATCACAGGTACTTCTGAGTTCTGAATATGATTTATATACATATTATTGCGGCAAGAATATATTCTGGGAAACAAAATTATTAAAACTAATGTTTCCTAAATTCGCTGGAAATTATGCTACCAGGTATGGTAAAAATTGTAAAAAAATTGCTAAGGAATGTTTAAAGCAAAAATATAATTTCATTTTACATGAAACAGGGTTAATAATTAATTCATATAGCCCTGATCTGGCATTTAGTCCAGATGGATTTATTAAAGAACGTGGAGAGGTGCACTTGATAGAAATAAAGTGTCCTTTACGAGGTAAAACTAGTGGTATTCATGAGTTGATAAACACTTTAAATTTTCTGTATGTGAACGAAGAAAAAAATATGCTTGAAAACTAAACATGCCTATTATGGGCAAATACAATTAGGACTTGCACTGTGTAATTTGCATACTTGCATTGTTGAAGTATCGAGGGATGATAATTTCATATTTAATTTAATTAATACATTAAATATAATTTATTTTGATTTATATTTACCATTATTGTTAAAAAATAAAGATGACTTGCAATTAATAAATAAAAATTATAAATTGTTGAGTTTTTATCTTATCCATTATTTCCTGCCCATAAGATGAAGAGTACTATTGGAAGATTACAAAGAAAAAAACAAGTACACAGATGCTACACGCAATAACAAAAAGACTGAAGGAAGAAGACAAAAAAAAAAGTAGCAGATAGAGATGGACTCAATTTTTTGCAGAATTGTATGATGAGGACATGGAACTCAATATAGTTCAGCCGAACAACTCTTGTATAGATCATGTAAACACTTTAAGAATACTTTTGGAAGAGGTAACGGAAAAAATGGAGAAATTTTTATTAATTTTATAGACTTTGAAAAAGTGTTTGATTCGATTAAATGAAACATGATCTGGAATATACTGAAACACTACGGAATATCAGACAAATATATTAGGACAATCAGACTCCTTTACAACCAATGTACTGCAAGGGTTAATCACAAAGGTATATTATTTGAACAAATAAATACTAAAAAAGTAGGTACTTAGTATCGTCTATAAAAATAGATAAACACGTATTTACGCAAAATAGTTAGTTTTATTAAATTAAATCAAAACAATGTCAGTTTAACAGTTCACAATGGTCAGAATTAAATACACTAAATTATCATTACTCCATTCCGCCGTGTTTATCTGTCATCAACGAACTACTCGTGACCATATAAGATAATTACCCGATCGCCGTATTAGGAATTCCATCTTAAGCGGATTGGGACATTAGGAAGTTACTGACTTAAGCTAATCAGCGTATTAGGATAATAGTGTGACTGCATTCGACCATCCTGACGTCACGATCGTCCTCGATCGTACAACACCTATTAAAAAAAATATGTTCTTTATTACTAAGAATGACAATTTATAAAAATTCTCCATCGTTGTCCAGAATGACATAGTCTAAATCAATTCGTTAATTCATTTCAGATACCTACCGCTATCCATACAAGCTCAATTTTAAACATTACTGTTATAATGTAACATGTTACTGTCATTTTTCAGAATGACAATGTCAATAAATTTGTTTCGAATAGCTACGACTATCCAAACAAACTCATTCAAAACATTAATATATTTATGTCATTTTGCAGAACGATGAACTGAATATCCATTCAGAACATTGGAACATTTATTTGTCATTTTTCAGAATGACGAACTGAAAATCCATTCAGAACATTAAAACATTTATTTGTCATTTTTCAGAAGGACGAACTGAAAATCCATTCAGAACATTAAAACATTTATTTGTCATTTTTCAGAATGACGAACTGAAAATCCATTCAGAACATTAAAACATTTATTTGTCATTTTTCAGAATGACGAACTGAAAATCCATTCAGAACATTAAAAGATTTATTTGTCATTTTTCAGAATGACGCATAAACAAAAAAATTTGCTTCAAATAGTCAGAACTACTCAAATAAAACCATTCATATCATTGAATCACTTTGTTGTCATTTTTTTTTTTTAGTTCCAGCTATTTAAACAAATTCCTTTTAAACAATCGAATATCTTTAGGTCATTATACAAAATGACCATACTATCATGTAACTAACCTGAATAATTTTAAGATCTTTGAATCTTAAATCGATTGATATGTTCTCCACCAACAACTCCTTCATAGGGACGCCTTGTTCTTGATGAATGTACATCTTCTTTTACACGATATCTATCATTTGGCAGAACCTTAACAATCCTAAATGGCCCTCTATACTTTTCTAAAAGCTTCTTACTTTCATTGTTTGCTGGAAAACTTGTAACTTTGGTCAATACCAGGTCACCAACAGCATATTTCACTGGAGAGCATATTTTTTTATTAAATTCGTTATTTTGTTGATTCTATTTTCTTCTAATCGTTTAGCTACATCTTTTCTCAATGACGTTACATCAATAATGTCCATATCATTATCATCTATGTATTTGTCTTCATCAACTCTTAATTTGTACCCGAAAAACACTTCACTGGGAGAAGATTTAGTTATTCGCTGTTTTGTCCCGTTTATTCCTTGTTGAATGTTTTTTAAATTCTTATCCCACATGTCGGATTCAAATTTTGCACCCATTGTGGCCATGGTATCCAGTAATGTTTTATTTGCCCTTTCTACTTGGCCGTTGCCTCTTGCCATTCCTACTGCAGTTGTAAACACTTTAATTCCTCTCTCTGCCATATAATTCAAAAATTCTTTTGAAACAAAACCTGATCCTGCATCTGATATCATTCGTTTGGTATTACCGAATACTTTAAAAATTTCTTCTAAAGCACGAATCACATGTTTACTTGATGTATCTGGGATAGCTTCAACAAACACAAATTTAGAAAAGGCATCAATCAACACCAAGACGTATTTATTTTGAGATTTCGTTAACACAAATGGCCCTAAATGATCGGCATGGAGTGTATGAAACGGTCTAGCATATTTTGGAATGGAATGTAGATAGCCAGGCTTTTTTCCTCCCGGTTGTTTATGGTATAAACAAGCAAGACAAGCCGCAATGTATTTCTTAATAAATCTTCGCATCCGTGGAAACCAATACCGTTCTTTTATTCTTTCAATTGTTTTATCCAACGCAAAATGCCCAATATCGTCATGATTCATTTTGACAATTTGCCAACGACAATTTTTAGGCACATACCATCTTCTACCATATTCTGTAATTTTATAAACTTTGTTTCCTCTTAAATCATATTTCTTGAAAATATCCTTATGATTTTCCTGATCTCCTGACAACAGAATATATTTAATTGTTTTTATTTCCGTATCTGTATCCTGTGCTTCTCTTAGATAGTCGTCTTCTTGGATGAGCATCACTTTAATTTCAAGGCTTTCCTCTGCTTCAGTTCTTTCAAAGTTCCTACTTAAGGCATCTACATGTTGTAGTTGTACTCCTGATTTATGTTTTATTTCAAAACAAAAATCTTGTAAACACAAAACCCATCTTGCTATTCTTGGGATTATTGTTTGTTTTACTAATGCATTTTTAACGGAAATGCAGTCTGTTATTACAGTAAAAGAACTTCCTGCTAAATAATATTTATACCTTTCTAAGGTTTTGACAATAGCCAAAAGCTCCAGTTCAAAAGAATGATATTTCTTTTCTTCTTTTGTGGTTTGCTTGCTAAAATAGGCAATTGACTTTTCACGACCATCAACAATTTGTGTTATTATGCCTCCAAATCCTTCTCTACTTGCATCCGTGTAAACTATTATGTCATGTTTCGGATTGAATATTGTTAAAATTGGTTCTGAGACTATAAATTTCTTCATTTTTTTTTAATTTTCATTTCTTCTTCTGTCCATGTCCAATTTACATCTTTTTTTAGTAATTGCGTCAATTTTGCGGTGCGTCTTGCAAAATTTGGTATGAACTTTCGGAAAAATGATATCAATCCAAGAAATTGCCTTAATTGATGTTGATTAAAAGGAAATTTTTTTACTGAGTCAATTTTATGTTTACTTGGTGAAATTTTATTAAATGAAATTTCATATCCCAAGTAGGTAATTTTTGTCATTAAAAATTTTGATTTTGACATCTTTAGAGTTAGACCATAATCTTCTAATACTTGCAATACTTTATTTAATAGTTCCAGGCCTTCCTCAATACTTTTTGAGGGAATTAAGATATCATCCAAATACGGAGTAATACTGTTTTGTTTAAACGGTTCAAAGATTTCGTTCATCATTTCTTGAAATACAGTCGGTGCGTTAGATAACCCAAAAGGACAGCGTAAATATTCATAATGTCCTTGACTAGTAACGAATGCTGTGTATTTGATTGAGTTATCTGCCATAGGAATTTGATGATATCCTGCTGCCAAGTCCAAGGACGTAAAATATTTATAATTATATAAACTGTCAATTATCTCTTCAATTATAAGCATTGTTGGAGGTATCTTTTTTGAAATTTTATTAACATGCCTATAATCTACCACCAGACGTTTTTGACCATCTCTTTTATCAATAAGAAAACAAGGGCTTGCGAACGATGAATTAATCTTTCGAATAATATCTGCATCTAATAATTCTTGTCTTGTAAAATTTTTTTATCAGCTGCAGGTGTTCTGTAGGGACGAAACTTAACTACATCTGAACTTGTAATATCGATTCTCATAATAACAGAATGCGATTTTTTTAGAGCTTTCAAATTTGTATAAAAACAGTCGTCGTGATTTAGCAAAATATTTTCCAACATCATTGTCTCGTGTTTAGATATATTTCCTCTACTTATTTCTTTATGTAAGTCTTTCTTATATTTAAATGTTAAACTATTATCTATTCTATAATACATAATATTTACATCTTCTGTAAAATTTCTTCCTATTAGAAGGTCATTAACCCAATGTTTATCCATGACATACAACATAATATTTAATTTTACAAAATCGATTTTTATTTTAGCAAATACATAATATATAACTGATAAAGAATTTCCCAAAAATCCGGAAAGTTTTACATCTTTAGTTAATGATTTTATTTCTAATTTAAACTTATCTGCCAATTCTTTTGAAATTAGCGAACAATCACTGCCAAAATCAATGAATGCATTATGGTTGTGCTCATTTAAGAAAATAATTTTATTAAATTTATTTTCGGAACAATCAAACTGTATTTGTTTAACAGATTTATTTTTTTTCTAAATTTTTGTTCGTTTTATTTACTCTTGTCTCTTGCAAGTCTTTGTTCTTTTTAAAACAGTGTTGTTCAATATGACCTTTAATTTTACAAAACCTACATATTTGGTTTCTGTGGTCACAATCTTTTTTTAAGTGACCCTGAATTCCACAGCACATACAAGGTTTATTCTTTTTAAATTTGTTGTTAACGAATTTTTTATTATGTACAAATTTTGATTTGGAAAAAAATAACTTGATTTGTTAAATCAAGCAATTTTTCTGGATTTTTGTGATAAAACTTATTTCTTAAATAAACTGCCAATAAATTAACATCTTTGATTTGAGCAACTTCAATAGCAGATTTAATATGTTCGTCTCCAATAGCACCAATTATTAAAGAAATCTTATCTGATTCGGAAAAATTTACTTTAAGTTTATTAATTTTTGATAAATGTTCAAAATAAAATTCATATAATGAAGAACGCTCTGTTGGTTTATGATGGGCTACGTCCATAAAAAGATCATAAGTATTTCGTGTACTTTAAAAAGTATTTTCTAACACTGATCTCCATTCTGTCCAAGAAAATTGAGACCATGATACTTCATTTTCAATAAAACTAGGGTACCATGTTTTAGCGGTACCTCTAAGCTTAGAAATCGCTTGAAATATAATGTAATTATCAGACCAACTATACGTCTTAGCATTATGCTCTATTATTTCAATCCATCGATCTATTTCTCCAATTAGTGGATCAAATTCAGGAATAAAACTGACGGATTCAATATTTCTACTCGTAAAATTAGAAGATGTAGATGGAGAATTTATTTTTGTGTCATTTTCTTTAATTTGAGGCAAAGGCGAAGGCGTATAGGTTCTATTTGTTTTTGAATTTTTAGATCTATTTCTTGACTTACGTGTTCTTTTCGATTTCGTATACCTTAACTCCCTTCCCGGAGAAGAATCCGTGGAAGAAATGCTTGTGGTTTCACTACTTGAACTACTATTTCGCTTGGACTTTTTCCTTTTCGGCATTTTGGACACTTTTATTCACTTAACATTAAAAACAGTTCACTAAACTCTACCGTAGGTCCTTTTTCACACTTCTGATATCGTCTATAAAAATAGATAAACACGTATTTACGCAAAATAGTTAGTTTTATTAAATTAAATCAAAACAATGTCAGTTTAACAGTTCACAATGGTCAGAATTAAATACACTAAATTATCATTACTCCCTTCCGCCGTGTTTATCTGTCATCAACGAACTACTCGTGACCATATAAGGTAATTACCCGATCGCCGTATTAGGAATTCCATCTTAAGCTGATTGGGACATTAGGAAGTTACTGACTTAAGCTAATCAGCGTATTAGGATAATAGTGTGACTGCATTAGTATTGAAACCATAGTTCATAAACAAAGACAAAAAACAAAATAATACAGACGAAAATGCGATTACTAATATGTCTATTATTTTAGTTTCTTATTTTATAGGAATGTTTTCGTTTTTTTTTATTAGATAAGACTAAGATAATCATAAAACATAAACAAACTTTTCTTTCTTTTGTTTTTACACATTGAAAAATGACACAATCAGTAAAGTTTAAAATTTTATTACCATTTATAAATGACACTACGCTAAATAAATATTTCGTGATTTTTTAGGCAAAAATTTTAATCTTTATGCTGATAATATATTCAGCATTCTCAAGTACAATAAATATATATGAGCACATAAAAAAAAATTAAAAAAAGGCAGTACCATCGGACAAAAAAGAAATTAATAACATAGCTGGTATGTTACTCGGCGATGACCCGTTTCAAAATTTGTATGAAAACGTCAATTCTGATATTAACAGTGACTTGCGTCTAGCACTGCTCGACAAACTTAGTTCAATCGCAAAAAACGAGAAAATGTTATACCTCATGCTGATTTTTGTGCTTATTGCATTGCAAATAATTTTCATAGGTGCTGCTGGTACCGGCAAAGCCATGACGATTAAAGTAATGATGGAGATATACAACACATTCTGCAATACTGATGGTTTTTGCATTGCTTACATTGCATGTGCCTCTACTGGAAAAGCTGCAGTAGCTATAGATGGTACGACTGTTCATGCCGCTTTAAGAATATCGTTGTCAAAATTACTTCCATTAAAAATTGAAAATGCTCATCAATATCGATCTTTATTTCAACATGTTATAGTGATAATTATAGATGACATAAGCATGGTAGGTGCCCAATTATTAGAGCAAATAGATCAGCGTTTAAAACAAATTACTTGATCAACCGTTCAGTGTATTAGACATTATCTTGATTGGCGATTTGAATCAACTGCCACCAGTAATGGCTACCCCTATATAAAAGCAGCTTAAAAACAAAATGATTGGACCTACTCTATGGCGTAGCTTAAAATTTCTTGACTTTACTGAAGTTATGAGACAAAGCAATGTTGAATTTTCCGGTGCTTTGACCAAAATTGGAAAGAGAATAAAGTTGTTAGATAGTGAATTACAAATTATTGAAAATACATTTATTTCTTAAGAACAAGCTGATAGCCATCCAACTATTCTTACAAAATAATCTTGTTCAAAAATATAAAAATCATAAGTTAAATACCATTCCCAACAAAATAACATCAACTGCGATTGATATCTTTACAGGTTGCCATAATGCTCAACAAGAAGCTTTTGTCCGTCAAAAACTTCATAAAATGACCATTGTTGATACAGGGGGGTTACCTTACGAAATAATTTTTGTGCTTGGCCAATATTACATTTTGACCAAGAACATCGACGTCTCCGACGATTTAGCCAATGGTACTGTAGGTAAAATTTACCAGCTTGACACTGGTAAAATAAAAATAATTTGGGTGACTTTCCCCAATAAAAGAGGTACTAAAATTTCTAATAAATGGCGAGCTTACATTAATGAAAATAACATACCTCCCAGAAGTGTGCCAATATTTACTATCTTTGTCACTATTCCACTTAATAATAATAAAACTATTAATGTGCGGAAAAAGCATTTTCCTTTAATTTCCCTTTGTGCCATGACCATACACAAGTCACAAGGGGAAACTTTTGATGAAATAGTTTATTATTACGATAAATGTTACTCCATAGAATTAGTTTGTTGAATGTTGAATTATCGAGAGTAACTAGTATAGAGGGGCTACATATAGTCTCCAAAGATTGTTCAAACATTTTCCACCATAACAGACGAAATTCAATATCAACAAAACACGTAAAGGATGAGTACAAAAGATTAGCTTCTAATTCACTTCAAACAATCTCAAGTACTTTACTGGATTTAATCAGCAACAGACCAGACCTTTCTATTTATATTTTAAGCTGTCAAAGTTTAAGAGCACATTCTTTAGATCTAAAAGGTCTTGTTGCCAGAAAATGCAATATATTGATGCTGACCGAAATACACATAAATGATCATAATATCCCAATAAATATTCCTAATTTCAATTTCGTTGTCAGCTACAAAAGACAGAATGTACAGTTCCCGTCATATAAAACTGTTACACTTTTTTTCCCCAATGCAAACCTGTGTTCAGACTTCGATACAATGGTTCGTGAATCAATTCGTTGTTGCCATCACATATAAAGGAATTGTACTAAATCTAAATAAAAAACGAACGTTCAAAAAAGTTTTTATATAGGTATCATTAACAACATAAAACATGCACAGATGCATTGGAACGCATCTACTGTCATTTTATAATGGGTCTGTCGCATAGCCCTTCTTCTAGCTGATTTCATACAAATTTTTGTTAAACTGGCAACGTTGCCCTAGAAATTAGAATGACATAAGTGATGCGAGCGGTACCAAATGGGGGGGGGGAGGGAGTGTGCCAATTTATCAACCTGCCATTAAAGTAATTCATGCAGTCGAATAGGTGAAATCTTCTGACATAAGTCAATCAATAACATTCGATATTTGGTATTTCTGGTACTTAACCTTAATGACAGTCACCCAACTAAGTGTTTTTCTGTTTGTTTTGTTTTTAATTTGAATCGTGTTTGTTTCTAATATTTTAATTGTGAACGTAAATTATACAACTAAATGTTACATGTCCAAGATAGCTGCAATCCACATTGTACCCACAAACCATTTTGATGTTATTAAAATAAATCACATTTCCGTTAACCTCAATCAAGTAAGATATAAACAACAAACAAGTATTGAATGTATTTCACCATGTTTTTAAATAATTGTAGCTCTCATCAATGAAAATTGGCGAAATATAATGAACTGTTGAACAGAGTGCACTTGGCTTTCAATCAGATGTATACCCAATTAACCTGAACCCCTTTATATATATATATATATATATATATATATATATATATATATATATATATATATATATATATATATATAGTAAACTCTTAAATATTGGGAAATCTGCAAAAAAAACTCTAATGTGTATCAATTATTTCACCTAACGTTTTCGCCAAAGAGAATTTGGCTTCTTCAGGGCTGAAAGAGAATAAATTATAATTAGCTACCATATATCGCTACCCAGTTCAAAACAGAAACAACTCAAAATTTTGTTGAAATGAGTTATTTTCGTAAAATTTATGCGAGATAATAATCTACCTATTTCAAAAGAGAAATGAATCATACATTCATTTTACATTCCTTAAAAAGTGTCTATTTCCTTTTTGGTTTTAAAATCTTTTTTAACAATAACGGTTCAAAAACAGAAATATCGTAGTTGTTTCTGTTTTGAACTGAATGTCACGCACTATCTGACATCTGTTAGAAATAAGTTAAATTATTTCAGTTTTTGAACCAGCTTTGTCACATTTCTTTTAGGTTATGTCAGTTTGAAAGTAATTGTTAACCTTTATGTTTTTATATTGTTCTGAAGCTATTTTCTTGTGGCATTGTAAATTAATTACTATTAAACTGGGAATAAGCCACAATTAAAGATAAAAATACGTTTATTGATGTTTCAATTTCCACTTCGGAAATCGTTCTCAAAATACAATCAGTAAATTAAACAAATTTTGTTTTTTGTTACATAATGAAAAATTCTTCTAATAATTTAATTTTATCTGACTCATTTATATTGACAATTCAGACATACATTATGCATTTTAAAGTAGACGACTTTAAAATGATATTGCCAATATTGTTGAGTTTTGCTCCTGGGGACGATTTTACTTATAAGATAGTTCATTCGATTACATGAAATCAACTTTAACTTGAGAATATCCGTCAGAAAAAAATCATAGCATGTAATTCGTCTTTAAAAAGACAAACACATGACATGATGACAGTAAAATTCTCCTGTTAGTGATTCCATAGTAAATTATGAGGGAAAAACCAGGAAAAAAACCTCATAATACTATCCCGACATTGTAAGTATGTGTTCGTGAATTTAGTTTACCTTCAACAAACATCAAAATTCTGATTTTATATGTTACGTTATTTAAAAAACATAAATGATGTATCCTCTATATGTTACTGACTTACTAATACTGGAATTTTCTTATTATTAACTTCCTCTTTCAATATTGGTAAACCAGATCCTACTACATTCTGTCGAAGAATTTGCGACACAATTGGCCTCATTTAGCATAATTAGAGCCGCTTCTTTGATTTTCTTTTTTACCATCCGTTTCTTTTAGGACTACATTAGGATACTACATTGGCAACTAGAAAAAGACTAAACATATCGGCTATAATGGAGTTATTAACATTATATACTGATAATACATATTTTCAAACTAAATAATAAATTCTATAAACAAAATTTTGGTCTAGCAATGGGCTCTAGTTATTCTATTCTTAGCCGATATATTTATGAAGATTTTGAAATAAATATCATTTCTAAACAAAATTTCAAACCCACAGTATGGTGGAGGTATGTAGATGATGTATTCTCAATATGGCCTCATGGATCAGATTTGTTGGACACATTCCTAAATAATATAAACGATAAAGAAGAGACAATAACATTTTACCATGGAAAAGGAATATAATAACACGCTACCTTTCCTGGATGTTTTAATCTCTAAGAACGATACTGGATATGAGACTCAGGTGTATAGAAAACCAAACACACCAACAGATATTTAAATTTTAAATCAAATCACAATATTAATGTAAAAAAGGGAATAATTAAATCCTTATACGATAGAGCAAAAATTACTTGTTCTAATGAAATTTCGTTCTTGGAGGAGAAACAGTTGTTAACATCTGTTTTATTAAAAAATGATTATCCTTTATCGTTTATAAATAAGGAATTTTCAACAATCGATCGAATAGAACAGAACAACTTAGAACGAGATCCTACAGCATACACAAGGAATAATATGAGGAAAAATAACAATACTGTACATAAAAGGACTATCAGAAAAACTTAAAAGGATAGGAAATAAATTCAACATTTCAACAACATTCAAAAAGACAAACACGTTGAGATCTATTTTGTCCAAAACCAAACCTAACAATGAACAAGAAAGGACAAAGAATTGCATTTATAAAATACCTTGTGAATGCGATCAGTTTTATTTAGGTGAATCATCAAGGCCATTAAATGTTAGAATAAGTGAACATCAATCTTATATTAAAAATAAAGAATTTGATAGATCTCAAATCTGTAAACACGCATGGGATAATGAACATAGGGTTCAATGGAATAATTCAAATGTAGTCCTAAAAGAAACGGATGGTAAAAAAAGAAAAATCAAAGAAGGGCTCTAATTATGCTAAATGAGGCCAATTGTGTCGCAAATTCTTCGGCAGAATGTAGTAGGATCTGGTTACCAATATTGAAAGAGGAAGTTTATTAATAAGAAAATACCAGTATTAGTAAGTCAGTAACATATAGAGGATACATCATTTATGTTTTTTAAATAACGTAACATATAAAATCAGAATTTTGATTTTTGTTGAAGGTAAACTAAATTCACGAACAAATACTTATAATGTCGGATAGTATTATGAGGTTTTTTTCCTGGTTTTCCCTCATAATTTACTATGGAATCACTAACAGGAGAATTTTACTGTCATCATGTCATGTGTTTGTCTTTTTAAAGACGAATTACATGCTATGATTTTTTTCTGACGGATATTCTCAAGTTAAAGTTGATTTCATGTAATCGAATGAACTATCTTATAAGTAAAGTCGTCCCAGGAGCGCAACTCAACAATATTGGCAATATCATTTTAAAGTCGTCTACTTTAAAATGCATAATGTATGTCTGAATTGTCAATATAAATGTCAGATAAAATCAAATTATTAGAAGAATTTTTCACT